GATAAATGTACATAAAAGAATTTTTTAAACAATATTGACTCAAAAGGAAGACTGCATGTCATGGTTTTCACTTCATGATTACTGAACTTTCCTGAAAGCTTTATTCCTCCATTGAGTCTCCCTCCAGGAAAACAAGGAACATTCTTTGCAATTCTAACACTTTTAAAGAATGACCTCCTTGGCTCAAAGAGAATCTTTTGATTATTAGTGGCAAAAATGAATTATCCTAAAGCAAACTCTTTTTGAAAGCATAGATCCCGTTTTGTAGGAGGAAAACCTAATCTCAAGCCCTAGAACATGTCAGGTTAATGGCTAACTTGCTGCAAGGAGAGAAATAGGAAAAAGCAAAATTGCTAAATCTGCTGAAGAACTAATCAAGCATATTGTTCCCTTGATTCTAGAAAATTGCAATGAGCTTTTAGAAAGGTTGAAAAGATGTCCATGGCACACTTTCATTTACTTTGTTGTAAATGTGTATTCCTCCTTCCCTGAGATGTTGGTATTCCTAGGGGAGTGGGGGGATGGAGGTGCTGAAGATTATAGCTACTGGTGATATTCTGGTGTACCCTGGCAAAATTCCTGTCATTCCAAATGACAAATGGTTCCCTCTGCTGGGTGAACTTAAATTCAGTCCTTAAGCTGAGACAGCCCGGAAGGAATCACCATTGGTCTTATGTTTATTAAAATATAGTTGTGAGGCTGGGGTATAGCTCATTACGACAGCACTGTCCTGGCATGCCTCAGCCCCTGGGTTTGATCCCCAGCACTGCACAGACAACAAACACAAACAAAGCCAAACAACAACAACATTAAAAACTATAGAGTAGATCACGGGGTGGGGGGTGGCACACACCTATAATCCCAGCTGTTTAGAGGCTGAGGCAGGAGGAACACAGGCTTGAGGCCAGCCTTTGTAATTTAGTGACCCTGTCTCAAGATAAAATAAAAAGGACTGGAGAGTGTGGCTCAATAGCAGAGCACTTACCGAGCATGTGCAAGGACCTGGGTTCAATCCTAGCACTGCAAAACAAGCAAAAAACATAGTTTTGAATTTTATCCTTAAGAAACCAACCACCTATGACCAGCTTAAGTATGTTCCAGAACTGGTGACGAACGCCATGGCTTCCTTTCTTTCCTTCATCTTTCCCTCCTTCTCTCTTTTCTTTGATTCCAAAAACTTTTAAAAATACAAAGAGTACAACAAATATCTTTATTTCCAGTATTCAAAAATGAGTATCTTTTTGTTAGGCCAGATTTGGCTTCCAGTGTTGCTTCCTTTTAAAAGAAATTATTGAAGGGAAGAGAGAGGGGAGGTGCAATGAAATTAACTAAATTATGCTGTTATATTGTGTGCAGTACAAATAGGTAACAATGAATCCCACTGTTGTGTATAATTATAGTGCACCAATAAAAAGAAAAATTAAAAAAGAAAAGAAATTATTGATGAAACTCAATTCCTCTTTAACTATCACACCTGTTCTTTCCTTCACCCTCTACACCCTCTGCTGCCTACACCACCTGCCCCAAATTCTCCAACATAAACGTGGGCTGTATTTGACCAGCCTCATGTTTATACTTTTACCTACATACATGTGTATTCTTAATGAATATATGCAATTATGTTTGTTTAAAATTTTCCTTTTATCAACAACTGCCTCGTACTTAATCCTGTAAATACAGCACATTTTTCTTACCCACTCCCCTTTCTTGGTGCCTCTTAGATCATTCCAGGTTTTGTTATTCTAAAAACAAATATTAATCTTTTTAGTGTATGTCTCCTTGTGCATATAATTTTGAGCCCAGTGCATCCCTCAGGAAGAATCACTATGCCAGGGGATGTTTGTAGTATCACTTTAAGTAACTATAGTCAAGTTATTCCCTAGAATAATAATTGCTTAAAAATGCCCAAATTGTGGTTGGTTCTGCCAGAAGCAAACTAAAATATTATGCTATTCCCCCCAACATCTTGGACAACACTGAATTTTTTCAGTCTCTTTCATGTTCAGATGGAAGAAAAATGGAATCAATTATTTTAGTTTGCATTTTCCAACACTATTTTTTTCTTTTAAAGAATGGACTTCTGGGGATAGTAGAGAATAGGAAAGGTAGCAGAATACAACAGTTACTAATATGGCATTATGTAAAAGTGTGGATGTGTAACCGATGTGATTCTGAAATCTGTATTTGGCGTAAAAATGGGAGTTCATAACCCACTTGAATCTAATGTATGAAATATGATATGTCAAGAGCATTGTAATGTTTTGAATAACTAATTAAAAAAATAAAGTAGATTAAAAAATTAAAAAAATAAAGAATGGACTTCTTTCTTTAGGTCTTGATCTTTGTGATTTATTCTTTGAATCATCTTTATTTCTGTTTATTTGTTGTGTTTTTCTTTTTCTTGATTTTAGGAGTCCCTTGCATATTCTGGTATTCACCCGTATCTTTGGTAGGGCTGACATTTGAGAAGATCATTCTTCAGGTTATTAGAACAGTTAAATTGTTCTGTTTCCAGATTTATTTTCATATATTATCAAGAAGTCAGGCCCATCTTTCTACCCCCAGTTGGTTGCAAATCCTTTTGGATCTACTTTCAAAATATGCTACATGGACCTGACAATTTTTTACTGTCCACTGTGCTACATTGGGTATCTTCATTCTCCAGGGTCTGCAGGAGCCTCCTCAGTGGCCAGGTTCTTTAGTTCATTCTCACCAAAGACCTAGAGAGACCTTATCAAAGTGTAAGTCAGCTCTTTATTTACCTCTAGAGAGAACCATGTAATAATGGCTTTGCAGTTTGCTGCCAATAAAAACCCAAGTCCTTATAGTGGCCCAAGAGATCCAGCACACACCAGCCCCATGTCACAGTCACTGTCACTGCTCCTTCTCATCTCCCACTTCTCTCCTCTTGCGCTGATCCCTGCTGTTCTCTAACACACCAGTCTTCTCATGCACTTTCTTTTCCCTGTCCCTGGAATTTATTTTCATCCAAAACCATTTATCTTTTTTTTTGCTGAATTCTCATTTAGATTTTTCCCAGAGATGTTACCTCCCCTGGAAATATTTTCTAACCTCCTTGCTTAAAAATGCAGCAATCGCTCTACACTGACTGCCTTTGTTTCCTAGGGCTATAGTAACAAAGTATCACAGATTGAGTAGCTTACAACAACAGAATTTTTTTGCCTGGCAGCTCTAGAATCTACAGGTTTGAAATCAAAGTGTCAGTAGGGCCATGCTCTTTCTGAAAACTACAGGGAACCCCCACCTCTCCTCTCCTTAGTTTCTGGTGGTTTGATAGTAATTCTTGACATTCTTTGTCTTGCAGCTACATAAGCCACATCTCTGTCATCACCTGGCATCTCCCTGTGTATCTCTGTCTTTACTTATGGTTTGGATCTCTAGTATGCCCTAAAGTTATGTTTTGAAAGCTTGGTTTCCAGAGCAGCAGTGTCTAGAGGTGATCTTACCTGGTTGGTGGATTAACACATTTGATGGATTAAAAATAGATGGGGCATGGGTGGAGGAAATAAGTCATTAGGGACTACATGTTGGCCCCTTCCTCTCTTTCTGTCTCTGTTTCTGTTTCTCTTTCTTTCTGCCTCCCAGCTCACTTCCTCATACCATGATATTCTGCATCACCTTAGGCCCAGAGCAATGGAGCCACTGTTATATCTTCAACAACTTTATTTTCAAAGAAAGTAAAGTTCCAATGTACTGGGGTTAGGAACCCAACATTTTTTTTTTTTCTGAAGTGCAGGGAAAATAATTCAACCCATAACACACATCATTTCCTTTCCTACTCTGTTTCTCCAGAGCACTTAGCACTATTTAACCAACCATATATTTCACCTATTTTTTTTGTCTGTCTTTCCCCATCAGAATATAAACAGCATGAAGTCAGGATGTGGGGCTATGTTTATTGCTGTAATATATTAGTGCCTGACCCCTTAATAGCATCTCAATAAACATTTGTCAAATGAATGCATTTACTCTGTTAAATTATGGCATTGAGCAGGCCAATTAACATGTTATGGAATAAAAATAATTAGGTAAATTTACCCTTATACAAAATCCTACAGAATGAGTCAGTTTTTATTATTTTAATATTTGTTATTTCAAAGAATGGCACCTGAAGGAAAAGTAGAGGTAGATATCAGAAAAGATAGGAGTGAGCTGACCAGTTGGGGGATGAATATATCATCATTGAGTGATTTATGGGTAGTGAGATATCTTTGGTCCCTTTGTCATTCTTCCACTTATCTTTACAATTAAGATGGAAAAAGATTTTGCTTTGTCTGAAATATTCTTGGAACTATGTATATACTTTGTATATACTATGTATATACTTTAACTCATTTAGAAATAATGTATTCTTAAAAAATGTATCCCTTGCATATTATTATACCCATTTTTCAGAAGCAAAAAGTGAGGAACAACAAGGTTGAGCAGCCATGTAAGCCACAGAGATAATACATTACTAGGATCTAAATTCAGGCCAGTGGGACCAAAACCTGTGTTCCTTCCCTTGTCATATGACTTCAGATTCTACTGGGACCAGAATTTCATAGGACAGGTTGTAAACTGACCCACAAATGATTTTTCAGACAGGTGATTTGGCATAGAACATCACTTTTGGTAAGTACCCTTCTTACCAAAACTCCTGGATCAACCTTATATTTTGGCACAATGGAAAGCCCTAGTGCCAGCCTGCCCAGTTCCTGAGAAGGGCCAAATGATATGGACAGGCCAGCCCTGGAATAGGCATCAGACAATAGAGAGTCAAGGCACCATTGTGTGGTCATGTGTGAATCACCGAAGCGCCTCTCAGACACATCTTTCCTCTGCAGAGCAATGATGATTCTCATAAGAAATCACATGTGCCTTTATTCTGCCTTTTAAACAATATCTGTGCAGTCATACCAGCTCAGTTTTTGTAGTTTGTGGTTTCTGTTGAGTTCTCTGCTAAAATATCATCAAAATTTCTTTTGTTTGTGGTGTAGGTATCCTAGGACAACCTGCTGACCTTAACTCCTCTACAAAAAAATCTGTGCATCCAGCCACTGAGAACTCCAAGGAAGCAGCAGTAGTCTAAAAGGTAGTGTTTGCTTCATTTTAAATTTTTTTCAGAGGGTCTGACATAACTGAACTGCTATGGGCAAACTTATAATAGTAGAACATTCATATGTACATATAAAATAGAACTTTTAAAATGGTAAAATTCAGGTCTAGATTCCCTTGGAGAATTTACCCTGTCTCGACTTCTATTTGTAGCTGCCATTTTAAAGTTGGAATATAAATATTATGTCAGTTAAATAAAAGAGTGATGACTTCACTTTATGAAAGAAAGCTTTGCCTTTGCTTTCCATGAAGTGTAGCTTAACTGTTGCCTGATTGATATGCCATTATATCATTCTCACCCCACAGACAGTTACACATATTTAATAATTTTTATGTATAAAAAGTAAGGTTAAACAGTTACGGTGTCAAGTTGTTATGCCTTATGGTGGCTTTGAGAATGATGGTGCAATTGAAATGAAATGAGTAGCACCAGGAGGCGGCTTCTGCCATGAACCATGTCTCCTAAAATGGCTTGGGATCATTCTTGGTAAGAGGAAGTCCTAGTGGTATCCAGTGGGACAAGGAAGGCTGGATCTTATCAAAAGGTTCAAAGATCAGGTAAAATCATCTCTTGCCTTTATACATCTTTGAATGGTGACATTGGAAAAGTTGAACATGTGTTTTATTAAAATAGCAATCAAGGAGAAAATATGCACTATTGAGGTCAGAAAACAGTACTTATGTAAGTGTGAGTGTTGGCATGCTGAGTATTTTGAGCTGAAAGATGTTGGCAGGGCCCCAGAAGCAAAATCTTTTTTGACTGTATCCTATTCCCCTCTCTCCCCAGGCAGGACTTAGATACTGGAACCCCTCTCCCTCAAAATCAGCCCTAAAACCTAGAAATGTTTACTCATAACTTTCCCCCGACATCTGTGTAAGAGCTGGCCATAAAGAAGTTCTCTGGCCTACTTTGTCTGACAGTCGGTCATCCCAGAAGGGTCCTGTTTTGTACATGGGAAAAAGGAATGCCTCAAAGAAAGACCTAGAAGAATTGAAACCCATACGCCTTGCTGGGTTTCTTCTCTTTGTCTCTCACTGATAGGTCATTCCCATTTTGTCCAATCTCACTTCTATACAGCTGTCCATTTTCATCAGATCTTGGCATTACAAAAGCCCAGTTTTCCTTGTGTCTCTGGGCTTTCATTTCTGAAGGCTCCGGTGTGACAGACAACATTTATTAGGTAGATTGGTTTACTTTTCTCTTATTAATCTATCTTTTGTTATTTTGTTAGAGGAGCATTTGCTGTGCCCCTTATAATGGGTGTCCCATCTTTCTCCCCCTGCAGTACTAAGCTGATAAATTCTTCAGCATGGGGTCACTGGGCTGTGCTCATTTAATCCCACTTTTATGTAAATACTCATATCCTTTTCCATCAGTCCTTCTCATCTCTCCTCCTTCAATAGTGTGTCCCACTCCTGGGTCTTGGCAAACAATTTTGCATGATATATATATATATATATACACACACACATACATATCTATTATATGATATACATATATGTTAACCTCATGTGCCAGAATACAATGATGTTGTGTTTTCTTTCTTGCTTCCAGTTAAGACCCAGTCTCCTGTAACCTGTATGCCTAACCATCCTTGACCTGCCTTCCTTTTGCTCTCATCCAATGGTCATCTAAAATCCATGCCAAGTTTATGAAGTCAGGCAAGACTGCACCTAGACTTTGTAGGATTGTGACACATTGCTGTATCTTCTAGAAATACTCACCAAGTTCAGGTTGTGTTGGGATGAGGCAGGCATCTTCACTTTCTGGTATGCCTGGCTTCTTTTTAGTGAATCATGTACCCATCTAGAGAGTTTCCCTGGAAAAGAGAGAAAGTTTAAAAGTAGGAAATTCAATGAACTGAAATGGAGCATCCTAACTAGAGTCCTTGAATGGCATTATTTGATCTTTCTGTTATTATTATTCTGGTTAGTGTTTTAAGCCCTGAAGCAAGGCACTTTTTAAAGTGAAAGCTATCAATACAAAATATATATCTGAAAGAGTAGGATTTTAACATCAGTAATTACTAGAAAAAAGAATTGTAGCTTATTTTCAAGTTTTAGAAACCTTTCTTATTCCTCCATACATAGAAAGACTTCTCTACTAACAATAAAGGGCATGAGCCTAATGATTTCAACTACTCCCATTTTTCTGTTTCTTTTAAGATTTCAGCTGTTCAATGGGATTTATCAGTCAACTCTCTTAGCCTCTCTGAACTCTGGTTTCTTCTTCCATAAAATGAGGCTAATGATAGAAAAGACCTCATAGAATGGCTATGCAAGTTTAAATGATAATTTATGTAAAGTGGTTAAGAAGGTGTCTTGCAGGCAGACGCTCTCAAGAAATGGAAGCCAGAATGATTATTATTAGAAGGAAATGTTCACTTACCAACTCTGTGCTGTTGTGGAAGGATTTTCAGTATTTTATTTCTCCTGGAATATTACCTATTGCAATAAGAAACCCTAAAAGTAAGGTAAAATAATGTGGCAAAGTACCATGTAGATATTTTTGGTAGTCATGAGTTTGTGTAAACAGCAATGTTTTGAGGTTAAATTCTGCCAATCTAAGAGCCACGTCTGAGTAATATTTTATCATTTAACTTTGTGCTGTGCTTCCACTCCAAATCCACCAATGTACTTGGCAAGATGATCAAGGAACACCTAATTCCAACTTCTGTTTCTTCTTAAACTAAAACCAAATATTACTAGATGAGGTAGTAGATGGAGGTTAAACATTTTTCAGAGAAGAGGTAGAAATGAAAAGGAATATTTCCTTAATGTTTTTATTTGTTTCTACTTCTTTTAAGGATATGTAAACTCTACTGGATTTAACATTCTCATTCTGATATATATATCAATATATATATTGATATATACAGATATCAACTGTAATATAGACCTCCCAACAAATATCTGGAGGCCCTAGAAAGTAAAAATAAGAAGACAGATTACTTGGGGGAGTTGAAATTCAAAACTCAGAAGTAAGTTTTTCATTTTACAACTTTTAGACTGAGAGCAGGCTGAAGTGAATGTCACCTGGGATGGCTAACCCTCAATTTAAAAACCTGTATACAGTCTTTGAGGTTTGAAGACCCAAACAACAGAATTCAGGTAACACAGACACTGAAAAATGAGTTTGGAATCTGTTGAAGAAGAGAGACAGAGAAGAGAAGCTCCTTCATCTGTTTATAAACATTAACCAAATATTTGGCTGATACCTGAATCATGTATTCAAGAGCAGATATAAGTTAGCACAGTTAAAAATTTAAAAACTGAGTTGAATTTGACCTGCCATCTGAGGTGATTTTCAGTTTGCATATAACTAAATTAATTGCCTGCTAAAATTCTTCTGAAAACTAAGGCAGAATTCAGAATTTCTTCACAATAACATTTATATAGTCATTGATACAACCTCAACTTACACAAATATGAAGGAACAAGAAAATGACCAATTTTTAAATATTTATTTTTTAGTTGTAGTTGGACTCAATACCTTTATTTTATTTATTTATTTTTATGTGGTGCTGAGGATTGAACCCTGGGCCTTGCACATGCAAAGTGAGCACTCTATTGTTGAGCCCCAACCCCAGCCTGAAAATGACCAACTTTGCTTTTTATCTATTTATTTATTTTGGTGCCAGGGATTGAACTCAGGGGCACTTGACCACTGAGCCACATCCCCAGCCCTATTGTTGTATTTTATTTATAGATAGGGTCTCACAGAGTTGCTTAGTACCTCTCCATTGCTGAGGCTGCCTTTGAACTTGCGATCTCCCTGTCTTAGCCTCCCTAGCCGCTGGAATTACAGGCGTGTGCCATCATGCCCGCTGGAAAATGATCAATTTTGAAAAGGCAAGTGTAAGACACTGATTCCAAGATGACCAGGATGTTGGAGTTAGTGAGCAAAGAGTTTAAAGTGGTTGTGATAACCTTGCTTCATGAAGATTATGAAAACATACTCACAATGAGTAACATGGTAGTAAATAGCAAGTGAAAAAAAGAGAGAATTTAAAATTGAGCCAATGCTGCTGCCCCAGATGCTGCTACCTTGCCAGAGGTCTCTTCTCTGGGCACCGCCATGATAACCTTGGAGGCAACTTCTGTGGCTATCTCCATGGTCACAGCTGCTGCATGGAAGTCTCCTGTCAATCATCTGCTGCCTGTACCACTATTGCCATTGCTACTGCCTCTGATTCCATTGCTGCCAGCTTCAGGTCACCTGGAGGTCTTCTTTCTGGGTGCTGCTGCCACAGAAGACATCTCTGCCCCAAATGTAACTTAAGCCGACACTGCTGCTGGAGATTGCGTGGTGATGCTGCCCCCACAGCTGCAGCTGCCACTACTGCTGACCCCCTGCCTGCCTACAACAACCACCGCCACTACTGCTGCTACCATAGCCTAGAGGACTGCTTCAGGGGAGATTATAGGTTTGGTCGCATGTGGCTGCACCCATTTTGTGACACCAGCCAGAGCATGGGGCCCAAGTGACAGCAGGTTTACCACCACAAGAGCCTCTGTCTGGGAACTCCAGCAGAGACCTGCAGGTCCAATATGGGGGTGACTATGACTTTGGAGGAGCCTGGGGTCTTCCTGCTGAGAGTGTTGGTGGCCTTTGTCTTGCTGCTGCATCTCGGGGTTGCTTTTTTGCATGAGTGTATCCCTAGTGGTCTCTCTGCAAGTAGGAATAGCACTTGAGATTTTAGGATTGCAGTGTGGCCAAGCCTGAGGTATCTGAAGCCCAGATTGGTGGAATAGAGACTATGTTTGGTGATCCCGAGATTATCAGAGACAGGGCTGAGAAACTGTTGAACACTGACAGAGACAGTTTTACTTTCCAGCAAGATTTATTTTATTTTATTTTTTGATTCACTAATCTCTCTACCATATTTGGAACAGGATGTTTTTTATGCATCAGTGTGTGGAGGACAATGATATATGAATGGTGTTTTGCATTTTTGTTGTACTCTTATGTCTTTA